CTCATTATGTACAAAGATATTCTAATATAAATGTAATAACAATACAAGGAGTTATTATACTCTATTTCGCGTAGGTTCATAGCTTGATAACTAGCTTGAAACATTTTATAATAGGTACCTACCTATTCTATTTCTAAAATAAAGTTTTTTTTTAAATGTTGAAACTATTTATAAAATACAGTTATTTTAATAAGCATAATTATTTCATTTTTTAACCATTTAAAATAAGTTTTTATAAAATTTCCTATGGAATCACTTAAAAATGGTTTACACTCTAGTGGTTTAAAGATATCTTACCACTCTTAGGTAGATAGATATGACAATACAAAATATACGACCTATGTAATTCATTCATTTCAAAAGTAATTATGAAACAATTTTTTTTTTATCATTATCATAATAGGTAAATTAAGTAAAAAGTCTTGTAAAAAGTAATATCAGAGGATAAAATTAATGTTACAATGTCTCATTGGATATGGACTATGATTATGATTTATGAGTAAGTACTAACCTAATACTAGGTAGTATGAATAAAATAGAATAGGTACAACATAGTTCTATATTACCTTCTTAAGCACCACCCTGGGACATCAAACTTCTAAAAACAAATACAGGCTAAATACAAAAGCCCCAAGTTAACATTTCTTCTTTGTATACAAAATAAATCTAATTTTACCAAAGAAAACATGGGAAAACATTGACGATATAATAAATTGTAGTTACCTACTTACACATAGGAAATTTGATTAACTACAACTTTTGGAATTTGAAAAAAATAATTACATGGTACCTGACATAACATAGAGTTTGCTTCTATTGATCCTACCTATACCTGTATGGTTATAATATTTAGTTATATATGGTTAATAAAATACATAGGTACCTATATAAAGTAACATTAATGAATATTCCAATCCAATAGGCAAATAATTCAACTAGCTAGGTATATTCTTAAAAATTAAACTATTTTCGGGATGATAGATAGAAGCATTGGTTTTATAATATAGGCATATAGAGCCATGCTAGGGAAAAATCTAACAGTTAATTGTTGGCAGCTGAGGTGTTACCCCTGTCTGATGGATAAGAGGGAGGAGGTAAGTAAGGACCGCCACTAAATAGTATGTATATTATAAAATCAATGGTAGAACTGTAGAAATAATTCTGGCTAAAAAAAATACCTACCTGAAGCTTATTATACTAGATAAGTAGGTAGGTATGGTACCTCAAATAAATACTTAGTAACAATTCACTGTATTTGACATTTAAATGTTATACAGAATAAACTCAACTAACAAATTAAATTTAACTTTAAAATGTAAATTAAAATGAAAAAAGATACCTATCATTGTTTAATATCTGCAAAGAGATGGTAGGTAAAATATTATTATTGGTAAGTAACCTAATGTGTTTTTTTTTATAAGTAGGAACTAATTAAACTATAAGATTAGCTAGTACAACAGTTAATTGTCTACCAATGTTAGCAGTTGCTTAACTAGGATAGCATAAGTTTCAATAGTTTTCTATTGCATTCTATACTATAGATTAGCTGGTACCAAGTTTTGAACTAACGACAGTGCTTGATAACATTGCCACCTTATACCAATCTACCACATAGAATATATATATGCATATTGATTAATGAATTATCTTTTAATTAATCTAAGTGTATAATACGATTTTTAACATTTCCAAGAATAGATAAAATAAAAAATATTTATTACATAGGTAGGTAGGTATGTGTACTTATTAAGTTTTAATTACAAAAAATATTTAAATTATGTTCAACAGTTTGAAAATTAAATAATTATATTTTGGAAAATAAGAAACCATACACAGAATAATAATTGTGAAAATATAATATAAGTATTGTAGTATGTTCTTACCGTAATATTTGTGATGGCTTCCCTCTTGAAAACTGACTAAGAACAAATATTTTTTCCACTTTATTTTACGTTGCTACGTACATGTAAGTAGGTTTAAAGTAGGACAATTTTTCAAAGATTTGATTTATTTTAAACAGCCAAGAACGAATTAGGTTGAGTGTTTCATGGCATTTATCACTTGAAAAATATTCAAACATAGGAGGTTTTAGAATGAAACAATAGATGAACGCTAGCTGCTAGGACAGAAGTCCGGTTGATTGTCGGGCACACCGAGCGTAGACATCAAAGATATCAGTCATAATTAGATATTCTTCACATTGGACTTAAGGATAACAGATAGTAATACAATATTTATAATATAAATTATACACCAAAACGAACAAAAACTATTTCGGTTACTCACTAATTAAATAAAAATGTATTTAATAATAATGAAAAATTAAAAAATGATCCAATCATTCTACAGACGCACAGCACTGCACGGCACACGGACTACCTACAAAACGAACACACTAACTTGAAATGAAACGTGAAACAGTATTATGTACACAGGTAACGTACATAATAATAATAATGATAATAATAATTTTTCGTATATAATATACAACACACACACACATACATATATAAAATATATATATGTCTGTGTGTGTGCGTGTGTGTTTAATACGCGAGGGGAACCCACACTACGACCTGTAGATAGTGAGCAGTAGTAGTAATAGTAGTAGTAATAGTATGTTAGTAGTAATAGTAGTAGTAGTAGTTGCAGTGTTCGTAGTAGTAGTTGTAGTAGTAGTTGTATATAATATAATGTTATATATATAATTATGTACGAACGATTGTATAGACTTTTATCACTAGGTAATTAATACGGACAGGTTGTGCACATCGGACAACCAAAAGTTTGATCAACCCTTTCGTGAACTGTGATAAAACAATACCGGCGAACAGAGCCGGCACCGCCACGGCAACACCCATGGGCAATTTTCAATGGGAGCAATGAGACATACATATTCATCGCAGTTCGCAGGGGCCTCCTCATTCCCCTATCTGTTCCCGGCATAGCGATTTATGTAAGGGGCTATAGCCTATTATGTTTCTGGTAAACAACTCATTATATTCTAAAAATGTAACTAAAAAAATATAGGGATAGGGAGGCTATAGACCCCTTAGAACCCCCCTCCCCTCATATTCAAAGTCTATCCTTCTACTCCACAACCCAAAGTCCAAAGATTTTCAAAATAGAATCATTATTTTATTTTAATCTAATTATTTAAACAAGTTGTAAGTTAAATGTTTTTACGTTTTTAATTTTATCACTAATTATTTATTCTTATATGAAATTATATCAATTAAATAGTTGTATTTGTCATTTTTTTTAACATCAATAGTTATTAAATATTTAAATGCAGGTACTCTGGTAAATATAAAAAATAACAATTTAAGGAAAATTGTATACAAGTTTCTTTTACTCTGCATAGTTATTCAGGGACGTTCCCAACGGGGATTCACATCCCTCCACAACAATTTATAATGTATACAAAATGACACTCATTGTCATCAAAATAATAATGATCAAAATTGTAATTTAAAATTTAAATGTTCGCCCTCCCTTCCTTGAAAACTGTTTGGAGACGCCCCTGTTTTTATTCAATGCATTATTCTTAAATTCATAAGGAATAATTATTTCTTATACTAAAGTAAACTGTACACACATGAGTGTCATGAGTTTTGTCCGTTTTCATATGGCCATAATGCATCTTTATGCCTTATACCTCTAATTAGACGAGAACTGTGTCTAACAACAGCATGCGGACTGCTTAACAGTTAACAACATATTGCAGTGATGTAGGCTGTCTTTACGAAAGAATACATTCATATTTCATCTATATGTATATATATTATATATCTTACCCAGAAACCCCGCATTACCGTGCGTGCGAATAATCGAGTAATCAAAAAGCGCCCTCTATGTTACGCTTTTCATACACTCATTGATTGTCTATATAATTAGTAGTATGAGGTCTATGTCTCTCTAGTTTACATTCCATAAGGCCAACATTTTACTTTAGCCATGACTCAGACATTATTTGATGATTAACTTTACTACAGCATAGACGCATAGTCTACACCTAGTAGACGGATTTTGTTTTCTGTATAAAAACCAATTTGAAATGTTTTAAAAGTTGCACGTTGTCACGGTTTTTGTCGTTGTTGTTGAGACTGTTTTTTAAACGGATAACATTCCTGAAAAATGATAATAAACTAAATAAATAATAATAGCTCTAAATCATAATTATCATTTATAAATTAAAACCTGTTGGCTGTTGTTAATATTGTTATTATTATATAAAAAAAAATGTATAATAATATGGAATATACTCGTACTTTATAGTATCTAGTACCAAACTAGTGCGGTAGTGTGGACATAATATGTCTATAATAATATGTCCATATTATGGTATTACGTGGTACTAATGTACTATGGGTACTATGACGGTATATTTGAAGTTTTGTGACCCGGCTGCCACCTGCTATGAGTGTGCCTTGGACGTTCGTGAGGTACATTTATATTTTAAAACATGATATAATTTTATTTATAAATAATATAAGATATACGAATCATTATATTATCTTTAGGTACATGGTCGTACGCAGTACGCATAATAAATCTTTATTATTTATGTGGATACGTTGGATAATTTGATAATACATATAGTTTCTTTTCTACTTGTTTTCCCGCCAATATTGACATAATATTATTGAGTTGACGTGATAAACTGATAAGTGATAACGTTGGTCGTTACTCGTTACTAAGTGTCATTTTTTTATATATTATTTCCATAAACCCAACATGCTAATATAGTGTTCGTAGTATTGAGTCTGGTCATTTTCGACAGGTTTTAACATTCTAAAACGTTTTTGATGTCGTTGTTTTGATTTGGTTTTTTACTACGCACTGCAGTTGTAAATTTTTTAAACATAGGAAACACTAAACAGTAAACATTAATAATAAATTGACACGATGCGACTTATCAACACATCTTACATCTGTAATTGTACATATTATGCAGTTTCGAACAGTGATTATGTATCTTAGCATTCGTATAGTAAAAAATGAATAATTTCGAACACGAAAATCCCGGTCAGAGCATATTTCAAGGCTCTGATTTGGCCAGTATTCAGGTGAACAATAACTTCCAAGATGACAATGAAGATCATTTGGATGTACAAAGACTCGATCAAGAGGTACAGTTGTTTTGATATATTATAGGTGCCCATCATTTTTTAAATTTCCATAAGCCTTTGTACCTATTTTTATACTGTTTATGTATTTTGTTAAATTGTTACACTTACTTAAACTGATTATTTACATTATTTTTAGATACAATTGTACAAAATGCTACCAAAGATCAAACACACTTTGTGTTTTATAAATTAGTAAACCCTAATCAAATCAGGAAAAGAAATATTATGTTAATTTGTTTGATAGGTGTTCAAATTTCAAATGTATATGCCTTGGAAATCCATTGGATATGGGAGTATCAAATATGACTAGTAAAAAGTCTTAAATATGTACTACCTATCTATAAAATGGCTTATAAAAATGTTTTTATAGGTTATAACACTAAAACATTCCTTAAGTGGAATAGGTGCCATCTCTACTAAATTTTTATAGAATACAATTACTTGAATGTACATATCTAAAACATTAATATGTACCTATATCTATTATGTATCTTTACCTATCCTTCCCTATCTGGAATCTCAGCTATTTATGTTGTATAGTGGTAACGTCTATCTATGGACATTGTATCAGTGTCAGATCAATACAAGATGAGGGAATCGAAAAAAAATTTTTTGTTAAATTAGATTAAAAAAACTTAGTTATATCGAGTATAATTTAAGTAACTATAATGAAAAAAAGAAAATGTTTGTATAATATATTTTACTTTACCAATTTCCTGGTGGCTGGTAGCATCACTCGAAATAAAGTATAATTCAAAACTATTTTGACACATGTAGCAGGCTGAAAGTTTAGTAATATACATTTTGTAAAGTACCCAATCTAAAAAATATAATAAAAGATGGCCAAACTCATTGATAGTATAAAACAAATGTAAGATGACACATGTATGGTGGTCCTGTGTATATATATGTATATTAGGTAAAATAATAAGCAATTACATATAAATACATAATATTATAAATAGTGTGAATCACCATTACAATTTATTATTTATTAAAATTTAATTTTTCTATATCTTAAAATGCAAAATATGTTAAAATATTTGTGTGTAATACTTTTTAATGCTTAGCTAAAATAAAATGTACAGTTAAAATGTTTTATATTGTTTCAGCTCAAAATAGAATTGGATGAAGTTTTTAATGAAAGTGGAGCTAATATGAGTGTTATCAGTTCAAGCCATTGTAGTGATGCCTCCGAAGAGGGTAATTACAATTTTTATTAAGACATTATAAATAATGTTTATGTTAATAATTTATATACTACATATTAATTACCCATATAAATAAATTATTTGATGTGATTTTCACAGTTAGTTAGTTAATGTAGCTAAGACAACTTGACACTCTGTATTAAAATTAATATTATTCAAATTCGTAAAAACATTTAGAATGTTAAAAAAATTTAACAATCAAATAAAAAAATAAAAAAATAACCTACCTAATTCATAAAACAATTAAATAAATTATTGTTGGATAATCCTTAAAAATTATTTATGATTTCATTTTGGGAAATTTTGGTTTTCTGTAACAACTTTAATATTTTATTATATTTGTGATTATTCATAATAATTGCATACAATGGCTTTCTTTTTAGATTATTAACATGCGTGAAATAAAGTACTTATTGCTATTATTATTATTTTTATTACGAATTTGGATAGTTGTTATTAATGTTCTGTATACCTACAGTTTGTTACTTGGCAACCGTGTGTAATACATTATTCTACATTCTAATTGAAATATATATATGTATGGAAATGGGAATCATATTTTTCAGAGCTTGAAAGTAATGAAAGTCACTCTGGATCTATTCACAAATCAAAGAGAAAAAAAGCATCAATACTTTCTAACCCAGCTTTTCAACATTTACAACATTATATGAATACAAACTTTCAACCTGATTTCCATAGAGATGGTAATATTATAAACAACAATGACTTATTGATTTAGTAATACACTGATAGTTCATTTATTTGTAATTTTTAGGCTCATATCCATCACCCATACCACAATATAATCCCCAAGTTAAAAGTGATAAACATATCACTTCTAAGGATGCTGCAAAAAATGTTAGCAAACAATATGTTTATGAAGGTAACATTATTATTTTTTTTTTATTTTAAGAAGAATATTTACAATCTATGCTACAAGGCATAATAAGCAAATTTGAGCATACAATAAGTAAATTATACAACCTGAACACATGAGGAAGGAGGCCATCCAGTGATAGAACCCAATGTTATTATTATTTTTTTTATTAATTATTAACTTAAATTTAATTAAATGGTTTGATAGCCGTCAATCGTTTGATAAGTCATGACACCATTTTCTCTTTAAACACCGTGGGGGATTGCTAGGAAGCGAGTTGGAAGTAAGTTCAACGATTAAAGGGTTAAAGTGAGGCTGTTATTTAGAGTGCAATTTGTTCTGATGTTTTGTGGCTAATTGACTTAACATAATTTAAATATTTCTCTAACATATAAGACAAAAATACAACTAATTTCAATCCACTTTATCCAATGTTCAATACTCTAAATACAAAGTTACATGTACCTAAAATAATAATATCAATTAATTATTGTTTCACAAAGTACAATAATAATGTGTTATTAATGAGCTGCAATGAAGTTATCACAATGTTAATAGAATGTGATAATTATTGGATTCTTATAATATGCAGATAATATTTATAACATGTTAAGTTTTAAATATTATTATTGGAATTAAATAGTTTTTTAAATAAAGTATTATACTGTTGTTTATTTCCAATATTTTAACTAAATGAAAACCTCTAGTTGTATGCATAATTATTTTTGTTTTAGTTGCAATTCAACCATTTATTACTATTATACATTTTTTTATCAAAATATATTATGTTATAACTTATAATACTGTTTGTCTTAAATATATATTATATTTAGAATTAAAAGGTCGGGTGTCGTTACTGATACATTTTTGAGTGGAGCTTTATTAGGACTCCGTAGGCACAATTAGGAGGGGGGATGAGAAGCTTAGCACCCAAGTTTTTTAATCTTATGCTAATTTAAAAAATCAATTACCTACCAGGGTCTGTGCTGCTGATACAATTTTAGACCCCTCTTCCAGAAAAGTGTCTCTAGTTGCGCCTATGTGAGATTATTCATAGGTATTTCTTCAACATTTTTCTAGAGATGTCTAAAAATCTTCTAACTACCAAGAAAAGAAAAAAAAATATCTGTTCAATGTCCTAACTAGACCTGTTTTCCAACAATGTATACCATTGCTTGAAACAGTATTCCATCTATCTTAAACAGGGATCATGAAAAAATGATTTGGAAAACTATACATTCATAGCTTGGCTCAAGATTTAGATAAATCTTGGATTTATACAAAATATCAAACAGTAGATATTTAATTTTAATTTTATCATTTTCTTATTTTTTAGGAATGTCAAATGAAACTAATTATGAAACGTTACAAGCTCTGTATGAAATGAGACGTAGTGAAGTAAATAGATTAGAAAAAGAATTATCTGAGTATAAAATGCAAGCAGATGCAGAAATTGATAATCTTCGTAAAAATTTGTTAATCAATGAATCCGAAGGTCAAAGAACAGTCATGGAGTATCAGCGTCAGTGTGGTAATAATTTACAAATAATAACTTTAAAAAAAAATTGTGTTGAATTGATAAGTCATTGCATACAAAAAATGATTCTGAGTGGAACCGGTTTATTGGCCTATATTACCAAGTATGCCTATTTTATGATAAATTTAAAGTTCATAAAATTAATTTATCTTAATATTGGTAGTACAATAGTATTTAGATTTCTAATTTTTTAACCCTGTTGGTTTATCTAAAGTTAATTTTACTCTAAAACTATAATGGACCTTTTTCATAAAAAAATTATACTAATAGAATCCTTGAAACTTAGTATATACCTAAATAAAACAAATTTTACATAAGCCAGAAAATAATATTTTAGTACTAAACAAATCTATATTTTTTTTTATAATATTTATGTGTGTATTCATTTTTATTAATTTTAGATGATTATTAATTTAATTTAATAATTATGTTATAGTTTAAAAGCATATGTGTATATTTATTGTACATTTATGATTAGACTATATCAGTTGATTACCTATAGGATTAGGATTTATTAATTGTAATACATTTTGTAATTGGCTATCCTATCTTAATCTTTTCACTGTAAGTCTGCAACACTATTTAATATTTAAAATCTGCAACCTGTGTATGCTACACAAAATAAAATAATTTTTTTTTTAATTTAAATTTTGAGGTCTATATGATCTAATTATTTAAGTTCAGAATAATGTGATCCAGGGTTTTGAAATTTGTACAGTCACCAGCAAATGATAATATTATAAATTTATAAAATACAAGAACTTACAGTACGTCTAGAGTAGTAAATAGTGTAAATGTTTTGAACGTTATAGAACGTCTGAAGCTGTGAAAGGGTTATATAAACAAATTGATAAATGTATTAGTTTAACAGTAATAAGATTATTTTCCAGTTTTCTATAACTTAATTAAATTAAAGATAATTACTTATATATTTTTTTAATTTTTGAAGTAAAATATAAAAATAGATGTGTTAAATGTAAATTTATACTTTTTATCGGAATAATGATAATTATACAAGGTGATCAATTTAAGTATTTACGCTCATTATTTTAAATAGTTTTGATTTTTTTTTTATATTATTTGATGTGACTGCAAAACAACACTATTGGAAGAAAAAAAATTATTTTCACAGTTGTATTGTTGATTATTTATAAGTTTTTACTTTTTAGAATAACATTCATATTTGATGTCATATTTTTTTTTCAAACAGTAATCATTAATAATTCTTTGATTTTAAAACCAAATTTCAGCAATTTTGAAATAATGAAAAAAAATTCTTGTAAATGTTTGTTAGTCAAGCTATTTATATTGTATCATAATAAATAATATAATATTTTTATTTTACTTAGAGAATCTTAAAGAAAATATTGAACATTTGGAAAATCAAAATTTAACTTTGAAACATAATATAGAAACAAAAGATACAATAAATTCCAAGGTTTGTTATTTAAAATTTTAGAAATTTAGAAATTGATTTTACGTTTATAGTCCTATTTAAAGTTACTTAATATTGATTTTAGTTAACTAAAGAACTTGAAACAATTCGTATTAATATGAAAACTCTTGAAGAACAACTTACTAACCTCTCGCGTAATAATGGTTCAAGGCAATATGATACAAATGTGGACTGCATTATAAATGATTTGAAAAAAAAGCATAATCAAGAAGTTGTAAATTTACAGAACCAATACAAAAGTGTTATAGAACAAATACGTTTTAAAGTATAGTTGGTTGTATGATTAAAAATGCAATATTTTCTTTAGTATCGTATATTTTGTAGGATCGTCATTGTACATTGTTAACAAATGAGTTAAAAAAACTGCAACAAGAACACCATCGCATTATATCAGAAAATAATGATTTGATTTGTAATCTAAAAAAAGAATTAAATGCAGCACAACAAAATAAGCTATCAATTTCCAATAACTATGATCACATTTTAAATTTAAACAGTCAACTTAGCGAATGTTCCAAACAAAATCAACAGCTAAATAATACATTACAAAGGCTAACAGTAAGTAAAAATAAGTTTTTAAATAATAATTTATAATATAAATTTTAATTTATAGTTTTTGTGTTTAGGTTGAAAATGAGAAACTTCATACAAGTTTGAATGATTCACATGTTGGCAATGAATTGCGCAATATTAATGATGGAAGTCAATTAGAAGAAGATTATCAGAAAAATTTAGAATTGTTACAAAAACAAAGAGACGATGTAAAAAAATTAACAGAAATGTTAAATGTTAAAAATAGAAGTATTGCTGAATTGGAAAAGAAAGAAATAACATACCAACATTGTATACGTAAAATACAGGTATAAATACAGTTAATATTATGGCTTACCCAAATAAATTATCTCATTTAAAATTATAGTATAATATGTAATAAACAATATGTATAATAATTTAATAATATAAATTATTATGTTTCAGTCAGAATTAGAGAAATATTCTCGTGATAAAAGCCAAATTGGTGAACATTCTAATGATTGTGAAACGCTTCGAAATGCTTTAGAACTGCAACTAGAAGATACCATGTGTAAGCTAATTCGAACAGAAGAAATGGCTTCACTTTCAAAACAAATGATTGAAAGTGATAAGGTAATAAACAATAATTCAATTGAAGAATATATGCATTACCATGAGTCATCATTAGAGAATATTTCAAAACAAAAAGATGAAGAAATAGAAAAACTTAAGTATGTTTTTCAAAGTTATTTAAAGGATAGTTAAAATATAATACTCATTGTGTTGTTTATAATTTGAATGTATAGAAATCGAATGGAAGAATATGTAAAGGAGATTGATGAACTAAAACAGCTTTATGTTAAAGTATGTTCAGAGAAAGAACATAGTTTAAATGAAAAAGAACGATTAGAAAAACGTTTTGATGAATTATCTTCTCAATTTGAAACACTAGATAAACAATACAGTACCCTAGTGAAAGGTATGTGTGAATTGTTTTTTGAATAACATTAGAATTCAAAATCTTAAAATTTTGTAGAAAAAGAAGAATTGGCTATCAATTTAATAAGTATGAAAAAAGAAATGAGCGATGATCAAGGTTCTTTTCAAAAACAATCAGTAAGCTTTTTAATTAATAAATCAAATAAAAAAATTAAATTGTATTATCATTTATCAATATGCATTTAACAATTAACAAAATGGTTTTGTTTTTTTAAGTTAATAAAAGAAATTGAAGATTTAAAAAATGAGTTATCGCTGCATAAACGTCAAAAAGAGATGATTGCTAAATTAAAAATTGATTTGTTGCAATCGAAAGAAAGAGTATTGTCTTTGGAACAACGATTACAATCAGAGTGTAATTCTAAAGTGGCTACTTATTGTGAACAGCTAGAAAATTTAAAAAAACAATATGAGGAAAAGGTAACAAAATTGAATAATGAATGCATGCTTTATGTGTATTTATATTTCAAAGTTGACAAGTTGTATACATGTTGTAAAACATTTAGGTTGATGAATTAAAACAAGCAAAAGATATAATTTGTAAGCTTACCAATTCTGATTTACAAACGTCTTGTAAAGTAAACAATGATGAAAAAACTTTAAGGTCAAAATTATCGGATTATGAAAATTCACTGTCTAATATAGAAAGGAAACACAAACTTGCAATGAATGAAATGACATTCAAGTACAAAAATGAATTAGACGAGTTAGAGATGATTTACAATAAAAAATTTAGTATGTACAAAATTTAAAATGATTAAGTAATTTAAATTAAAAGTTCCCAAATTGTATTATTACCGTTTAGATGAGGAAAAAATTGCATGTGGTAAAATAATTGAAGATCTAAAGTGTAAACATAAGATTGAGATAGAGACATTAAACACCGTAGCAAAACAGAATGCAGATGACTATGCAAAACAGGAAATGATACAAATTGTTGCCCATCATCAAGAACAGTTTGAAAAAGCTAAAGAGATTGTTACATTAAAAAATAATCTTGTGAGAATCACATTTGCTTAATGTTAATTTTTTACCTCTATGTTTTGCAAATAATTCAATATGCTTTATGAAATAGATCAAAGAACTTGAAATGAAATTAGAAAACGCCAAAATAGAAATTTCAAATAAGACTCGTCAGTATGAACAATTCAAAGAAATGCACTCTAGTTCTACAAACATGAATCAGCTGAAACAACAAATTGAAGAGGAAAGATCAAAATTTGCACAAATAATGACCAATTGGTCCCAAGAGGTGACTTAAACAATATTCAGTAGTGAAATAGTGTACTTTACAGTATTGTGCTTAAGCTTTATATTAAAAACTTTTAAATATATTTGAATCATGTTTTGTAGTTACTTTATTATTGTATGTTTTGATTAGATGCGTCAAATGAAAGATAAATTATCTACAACAGTATCTGAATGGGAGAAGTTACAGGCAAAGTATGCAAAAGTGAAACATGCTGCACTGGGCTATAAACATGCCAATCAAAAACAACATCTAGTTTACAATGAATTATTGGTGAACTGTGTTCGTTTCCTAGATGAACTCAAAACTAAAACTGATGAGCTGTTGACACACAGAGAAAATGAAATCCAACAAGCTCTTGAGGAATTTGAAAATGATTGCAAACAAAGACGCTTGGCGTTCAGTAATGTTAATAAATTATCAAGTTTTAACACTAGTTGATCTGCGAGAGCAATCATCTTGTATAAATGATTTTATATGTTTTTTTATTTCCTAACCTTTATGTTAATAATTTTTTTTTAATTCATCATTTTTGTAATTATTTTTATTAAACATTAAAAAAAATATATTTACAATTTGTTTTTACTTTTATAAATAAAATGCAATTTTAATGTTTTCAAGCACACCTGAAACTTCAGCAATGTCTAATAACAAAAAAAAAGTAGGTTTCAAGTGTACTTTGTCATTGAGTGGTCATTGTAATGTATTAAATTTAAAGTCAACAATCAATGTAAAATCTTTACATACAAAAAGCGTTTCAGAGTAAAGACGTGTTGAGTACCTACTATTTTTGAAAATATCTTAAAATACAAGTTTTAAGTATGTACCATAGGCGCCTCCAGGAATTTTGTAGGGGGGGGGGGTGCATCGCACATATTATACGCTGATTAGTGATTTCTAAATAATGCTTAAATTATTTAAGTTAAATATGTACGTAAAAATGTTTTTTTCAAAATATATGACAATATAAAGTTATTATAGTTTTTTTCCGTAAAGTATAATAATATTAGAAAATCTGATACCTAATGATAATATTATTGTAGTACCTAGGCCTTTATCCTACGTCACAACTCGTGAGCTTATCGTACCTATGTGATGAAAGTGGCCAATTTATAATACATCGAATATACGTACACATGTACGGTGTACTCAATATTGATACGGTAATATCTGAAATTCTGAATCGTTATTATTTTATTAATTATTGTAGTCGTGTGTGTAATTCTCAGCGTGTTACTTGCTAAATACAGAATTCGCCGTATAATATTTTAGTTCTTTTATTTGCTTGTTTTTTGCAAAACTGGGCAGTTTTAACTAGTTTAAAAGTTGAAAGTTAATTAAAAAGTTACTTTTTTCGATAACTTTTAAAGTTATTTAACTAGTTGAAAAAAATGACTTAGTTACTTTAACTATCTATGGTCGTATGGTATGGCATACGAGTAACCTCTGAGTGAGAGTGCAAGGTGCAGCAGTGTCTATATAGGCATAGGGGCCATTTTATTGCAGAGTTGCACACAATTTTGTTAAGTTGCCAGGAGTTGACAGTGAGCCAGGAAAATTTCAGTTTCACGCATCATGCATATTTTATTCACACTGTGACTGCGAAGGGGTAAAACAGTGGGTGGGGGGGTAATTTCCCTAACACCACATAACATGATTTAATGGCTAATTTATTCTACCCACTTCAATAAAATAACTTTTCATGATTAAATTGACACTGATTTTATTAAAATCTTAATTCATTATTAACAGTTAGGAGTTAGGACTTAACGAGGTAAGTTGGTACATTAATTATAATAATGTTAATATATCTACCTATAGGATTATAGGAACATATTAGATTCTACACAAAGTCACGAAATTTAATATTTACTTCCGATACACCGTGAATGCAAAAAAAAAATGCATAAAAAAACTATACATCGGCCAAAAAGAAATTTTTTGAAAATGCAACGTCAAGACGTGTCAGTGTAAAACCAATATGTTTCTGGGTAATCGGTTTGAAAATAGTCGTCTGTCTTTTTTAACAATACTCCGATTTATATATTGTTGGAGTGCAAAACTGACCTCCGTTAAATTTTGTGAAAAGCATCTGGGATATCAGTTATTGTATAGAATAATTACATGCTTGAAGTGTGTACGATAAAAATTAGTCAAAATCAACAAATACAAATCGGAGGACCAGGAAAAATTGTTAAAATCGACGATAGTAGGTTTTCAAAAAGAAATATAATGCTGGAAGGATTTTACCACAACAGTGGATATTTGGAAGCGTTTGTCGGGAAACAAAGGAGACATTTTTAATCCAAGTTCCTAATCGTGCAAAGGAAACGCCTTCAACTGTAATAAAACAATACATAAAGGTAGGTGCAACCATATATTCAGACTGTTGGCGTTGATATGCATATGATATGCACGAACTAACCAGAGCCGGATATACGCATGATACAGTCAATCACACTCATAACTGTGTTGACCCAGTTACTGGGGACCATACTCAGCATATTAAACGTATTTGTTGCTCTGCTAAATGAAGAAATAAAAAGCACAGGGAAACCAGACGCCATCATTTGGAGTCCTTTCTAGCAGAGTTTATTCGGCAACAAAACATCGAAAATGAACCAGTAAATAACATATTGAAAAATATTTCCAAAAATTGGTCACCAAAAATAGAATTTTAGACTCATGCAACTTTGATAATTTATTTTTATTTTTATATGTAATGTTCAATAACTTGTATGATATTTTTACTATTATAATTTTTGTGTGATAATTTTGTTGAATTTATGTTTAATGTTTTTTTTTTTATTATTTTATTAATTGTTTAAGGCATCAACTGCGAGGATATTAGCCGGCGTTACATATTTACATTTATATTAATTTCTTACATACTATCTTAATTTCTACTAGTTATCTATATATTTACAAATTTATTTTAACTATATTACAAAAATTTAAATCAGTTGACGCAGTTCTGTTGAGTTGACGAAATTGAAGAGTCTTTTGGTCGTCTCAGGAGTGGGTGCTAGTATCTCGTATAGTGTCTCAGGAAGTTTTAGCTCAATGCGTCTTTCAATGAACTTTCGACATTCGGTAAGTATATGTTTGACGGTGATGATTGTTCCGCACGTCGGGCATGATGGAGGGTCTTCTTTGGCCATGAGATATCCGTGAGTCATGCGAATGTTTAATGTTATAATTTACAGAATAAGACTTTCCACTGCTGTGATGATTTTAGAATTTGTAATTTGACGTTTTGTGATAATTTTGATGATGTTATAATAATATACATTATCATATAAATTTCAATTTATATGTTTTATGTATTAAAATATAGAACAATCTGGATAGTACTATAGTAGTCAAGATAACAGAATTGAGTTATCGCGGTAGTCGCGGCATTTCACACATCAGTGTGGGTGTAGAATGGAGGTATATACTACCGCTTTAGTTGAGTTTCACTTATAGCCGTTGATCGGCGAGTCTGCAATCTACCGCAGGTGGACTACCTACCTGATTAGTTGTAGCACACTGTCTGCGATGCGACCAAGTCGGATTGCCTACCTTGGTGGCTAACTTGAATGTTAATCACTTGAGGTGACTGACTTGCTAGGCATTTGAACACGGATTTCAAATTTACATTTTTTTACATACGAAAAAGCACCAGACATGCGACGACACACTAAAGCGCTCTATCCGCCGAAGGCTGATTACTCATTCTGGTTTCGAATTACACCTTTGATTGGCTGACTTGCTAGACACTCAAACACAGATTTCGAATATACATATTATGTTTATTGTTTACAAACGAAAAAGCACCGGACATGCAATGGGGAACCGTATTATTCAATTGCCGACTTTCATGGGCGATGTGAGATTTCTAGACACTGAAACTCGAATTTCAAACATTCCCACGTTGGAAACGAGACCTCCAAGCCATATCAAAAATCCTTGTCGCCTCCTCAATTTTTGTTCTTTAACCAATAACCACCCATCACCTAGGAGCGACATATTTTATAAGCCATTTCAACAATACTGTCTTCTCCAGTCTATATCACCGAGTCTCACAAGCCCCCGAGTTTCAAGGCAGCGAGTTTCCGATGGTAGCTATATCCCTATAAACTTAATTTTTCGTGTTAAGCTGGATCTACTTACTAGTATTAGATTTCGAGGGTCTAAGAAAAAACGGGAAAATGTACGTAATACCAGCTATCGACCAAAAAGATTCTATTATTTTGTAGAAATGAATAAGTTATTTGCATTTTTACCAAATATTTATATTAGTATTTTCTTACCATAATAAATAAATGAATAATTTTGGATTTTTTTGAGGTATTTATGCTTTATAGATATTTGAAATTGTTATTGGTTTTTATATTTATATTGATAACCAGGGAACGGATTTTATTGTAAATACATATTTTTATTGGAATGATATATTTTTAATCTGATAAAAAATGTGCACGATTCTGATCATTCTTATTGAAATAAGCCCAATTTTATTTTACATATTTTTACATATTTGGGTAAAAATACATATATTCGCATATTTTGTAAATAACTGAATATTTCGTAAATATTTGGGTATTTTTGGTTTTTTTCGTCAATTTAAAACGACGTCAAAGATTATTTGCCTTATCTTAATGGCAATCAGATACCCTATGGTCTAAATATTATACGCTGTCGATGAAAGCCTAAAATAATAATATTTGTAATTTTCAATGACGATGAACATTATCTACGTTCTCTAAATGGACTTACGTACTTTATACACTGCTATCGTATTATACACTGTGGAAAAGTGGGTAAGTAACGTGTTTATTCAATTTTACGGTCTTCAGTGTATGTCTAGTTACTGTTCTGGCGGGCGTAATTATTTGCATCGTTTTTTTCTTCATATTTACATCGAAATTTTGTTGTTTTTTTTATAAAATTGTTTAGAATGCCTTAAGTTGTAAGTTCAATCAATAATAAGGTAGCCGCATATTTAAAAGAATTTCCGAATGAAACATTTCAAAGTGGTGGGAAAGTTCTATACTGTAAGTGTTGTGAAAAATCGGTATGCTATCATTACGTCAGTTGATATGGAACGTTCATTCAGTCAATACAAAAACATTTTACGACCAAATCGCCGCCATCTTACGTTTTTAAATCTTAGAGATTATGTAGTTTCACATTGTTTTAATAATTATTAATTAGATAAGAAATATGATTTTTATACTTACTTTTTCTGTTAAGTAATTATTACATTGCAGAGAGGAGTAGTAGTGTTCATACAGATCCTCCTCTGCTGTCGGTTCAAACGGAAAAAAAAAAAGTGGTTATTACATATTTTGATTATTTTTTTTACATATTTATGTACATATTTTGATTTTATTATTACAATAAAATCCGTTCCCTATTGATAACATTTTATTTTCTTAATCAAAAAAGTATGAGCATTTAGAGCGAGGTTCTCTAAAGTTATTCATGTGATTATTAAACATATCGATAATAGTATAATATGGAATCACAATTTGTTTTACGAGTGTTCAAATTTAAACAAAATCAAAAACATTTGC